TGTGTGTGTGTGTGTGTGTGTGTGTGTATATATATATATAAATTCCAATACAGTACATTACCTCCACTCACATAAATAGCTATTCTTGTTCAGTGTTGCCCTCTATATGCAAAAACATTTTTATTCATACCACAAACCTTCTATCTCCCCTTCATTGGACTTGACTGATTCCAATGCGTCTCTTGTTTAAATCGTAATGCGTCAACTCTCTTCCAATAAGAGTGTGACATACTCTCATAACTCATGTGACTCCTTCTACTCGATTCTGTCATTTCTTGTTTGGCAGTACTTATGTTCAGATATTATTTTTTTTGGTGCTCTTTGTGTGAATCGTGATTTTAATAGTATAATCTCTCAAGTGGGATTCCTTCATTATTAATGTTTTTCTTTACATTGAAGAAATCTTTTAATTTCATTTCCCAGTATTTTTTTTTTTCACACTCGCATATTTTACATCAAACAGTTTTGTTTGATTTATGTATTTCTGCAATGAATTATTAGGTTTATGTTCCCATTTCGGGTGTTATACTTCTAGTACTTCACAGGCTGCAGGTGGAGGAGACCCGTTGTTGAATTTCTCTGCTATTATCCATTGTGAGAGCATTTGTTATATGGGTCAACCTTCTTCTCCTGAATTTTCCCCACTAATCCTCCTGAACAAGCCAAACCTGTTCAGGCAGAAGAAGATTTGATTGATAGTTTTTTTACACCACTAGATTTTGCCGTGTTTTTCCCTACTCCTCCTGCAGAATCTGCTAGGCCTAATATGGCATTTTTCAACATGATTTAAACATGTTTTATCCAATTCCCCGCTTTTCTCTGATTTCTTATTACCTCCATGTTGGCTCATTTGTCATCTTCGGCTCTCGCTTTACACGTGGTTTCACTGTAGCTGGGATTTTCTGGGTAGCAGTGCAACCTTGTCCCTGGTACATTTGCTACCTCCTTCTTTTCAGGATTTCTGTATTTTCTTTGGTAATATGCTTTTGATAATGCATCTGAGGCTTTGGAATCTCCTGTGTTATCTGTGCGTTGACACTCCACCCTTTCCTCTTTGATTACACATTTGTTTCAGTTGCAGCCACAACACGCCCCTATTCCTTCCCATCCTAATCTTTAACAACCCGTTTGTGTTCTTTTTGCAGGGGTTTCTCAACTCATTGTTATATTCAACATTGATAGCCATGTCGACAACAGTACTGGAGAACTAACCAGAGGGTTCCGGTCCAGTGGAAGCTTGTCTATATTATATTGTTACCCTTTGGTAACCTTTATTACAGTTCCATGAGTTCTTTGGGTTTTATCAGAGGGACTTGAGCTACAATTTTTTTTTACCCACCTCCTTTGTCCTTAGTACCCCTTTCCTTCCCCATGACTTGTGTTCCTGACACCAGCCTGCATCTGTCTGAGGCGGTACACGATTTTCTGTCTCTATAGGCTGTTGCTCCTGTTCATCATTTTTCTCCAGGCTGTTTGTTGTCCTTGCACCAAACTGGAGACGGTGGCCTGTACTAGGTTTCTCCTGCCTCATTTTACCATATAGTTGTTTCTCACACTTAGGTAGGCTTTTTCTTTAGGTTTATTGATGACAAAGAGGAGTTTCACCAATGATTAGTTGCATATCCTGATATTTCATCACTCGCAACCCTCTCTTTGCATTATTCTCCACGGAGTGGTTTCTCTGTTTAGTGCACTGCCCTTCAGACTTGTTTCGGCCCCGTTTGTTCTGTCAGGCATTCAGAGCATTCGTTTGTCACTTATATGCTCTCTGGTTTCATCTTTCTTTGGGTGACTGGCTACTGTTTGCTCATTCCAACCAGGAGTCCACCTGTTACCCTTATCAGCTGCTCCTGGAGGTGGCTATAGTGGGCTGTTAATTAAGTTGGCGAAGACCTTAATACGATCTATCCAATATCTTGTCCATTTGAGGGTTTCTACACACATCTCAGTCGGGCCCATTCCTTCTCCTTCTCGACTTCATTCAATGGGTTTTCAGTTCGTTTACAGCTCAACAAGTTCTATTGCCTTTGGGTATTTGATCTTCCATGGTAGCCCTTGGATATGCAGGCTCTTTCATGAGCTTTTCACGACCAGTGGAATTTCGCAGGGATCCTTTGTTGGCTCTTATTACCCTCCTCCTACCCTTGTCATTGATTGACATTGGTGTTTCGATATGACTCGCACATCAGCAGCTGTCCCACTTCCTCCTCATCCAGTTTTCCACATTTAATGGATAGATCCCTTCGGGGATGGGGGGGTGTGTAGGTTGATCAACTGGAAGCTTCGAAGTCTTATCCTATCAACGACCTGTAGTTTCTCGCTGTAGGTCGTGTTTTGGTTAATTTTCTCCATCTGGTCAGAAATCATCTGGTAATGATCCATTCTGACTCTTCATCTTAACAGCCTTTATTTTTGTTGGAACTATTATCACTCAAAGCATCTTCATCAATAACAGTATCTTCTTTCTCATAATTCTTTTCAATAGAAGTATCAACTATTATCAAATATATCTTTCACATTTAGCATCATCATTAGTAGTTTTCTTCAATTCTGCACATCACTTAAAGTTATATTTTCAAATATAATGTTTCCTACGTGCTTACAAATTTGTCTTTATTAAAGAAAGGTGTTATTTGCAGACCACTGTCACATGACCAACCAAAGAGATGTGTGTTCCTTTTATATTTCTAGCATTGGTGAATGCAATTAGACTAAGTCACTCATACTGATAAATGGAGGTAGCATTAATATGTCAGAAGTAATGCCATAATGGGGTCAGGACTGATTTGTATAATACACAAGCCTAGAAGTTTATCCCTGTGTATGGTGTGGTTAGCAAGTAAGTTATTATTAGTTTAGAACCGAGCAGTCCAGCAACAAACTAAACACTAGTCATATTAACAAATATACAAAACAAAATAGTTATGCATGTGGAGGCAACCATGTTGAACTCATTCAACATAAATGGTCAAGTTTCAAGGATTAGGGGGTCATGCATACTTGTCTTCTGAAGTAATTATATCCTCATGTATTTGTAGGGACAAGTACAAAATTTTGTGATTGGTTACTTAAAAACATATACCCTAACCATAATCAGTTACTTGTTAATAAGCTTCTGGTTGCCTTTTAACAAACAGTATGCTGGTTGAAGCAATGTTATAAAATGTTTTATACACATAAAAATTCAATTACACTTACTGCTAACAAATTGTCACCTACTGGACCACCATGTTGTCATTTCTTGATAGTAAGCTCCTCCTGTGAGTAGGAGAAATGGGTCTCTTAATTGTACATGTATGCATTGTACTTTTCAGAAAATATTGTAATTATGATAAAAATATAATGCATTTTATGCAGTTAAAATCAAATATTACTTTGACTAGTGAAAATCCATCATGATAGCTTGATGCTTTCCAGTATCTGGAATTCTTGTGATGATATTTAATATGATTCTTCATTGTAGAGGTCCATCTAATATCTAATAGATGCTAGAACTACATTACAGAATTTGGAATTTCTTTTTTTTTCATCCTCTACCAGCTCATGTTTGTTTCTTTTTGTTTTCAACATCTTTTCTTTTATCAGGGAATTCTAAGAATACTGTTTTTTTTTAGACCCCCCCCCTCTCCCCACTTGGGGGTACCATGAACACTCCTGATCATATGTACCTAAGAGACAGATGTGCAAAATTATGTGGAATCACAATACTTTTCTATTTTTAGAACCTTTTTTTGTACAAATTTCATTTGTATTGTTGCGTATCTGCTTTTTTGATAATTTCCGGTATAAATTCTTTCCGAAGAACTTCAGCGATACAAGTCCCTTCTTCATTAAACCAGTTTATTTTTTCTCGATACAAACTTTTAGTACACGGTAGTTCCACAATCAGTACG